AATGGTGTTGCCATCCTGCTGGTTGCTCAGGCCTCAAACCCCGGAGACTTCCTTGACTTACTCTTTCTGTCACACCCATATCCAATCCTTGTTCTTGGCCAATCTTGTTGTTGGCAAGATCTTTATTGAAAAACAAATTTTTTTTAAAGCAATCTCTACATCCAACATGGGGCTGGATTTCATGATCGGGAGATTATTTATTTATGTGTGGATGGATGCTTGGATTGTTCCCACCTCTTGGCTGTTGCAAATAATGCTGCTATGAACATGGATATTCAAATATCTAATTGAGTCTCTGGTCTCAGTTCTTTTGAGTATGTATCCAGAAGTGGAATTGCTAGACCATATGGCAATTCTATTTTTAGTTTTTTTTAGTAACTGCTAGTCTGTTTTCCATACAGACTGCACCATTTTACATTCCCACCAACAGTGCACAAACATTCCAATTTTTCCATATCCTTGCCGACACTTGTTATTTTCTGTGTTTTTTAAAAATCTGAGGGATGAGCAGTGAGTGTTATATGTAAACAAACTTGACAGTAAACTAAGGGGGAAAAAAAGAAAGAAAAATGGTGCAGCTACTATGGTAAAAAGTATGGCACTCCCTCAAAAAATTAAAAATACAACTACCATAAGAAGAAAAAATCTGATCATTTCTTATCCCTTCTACAATGTCCACCCTAAACCAAGCCTTTTTTTTTTTTAATGTTTTATTTATTTCTGATAGAGAAGAAGAGACAGTGTGAGCAGGGGAGGGTCAGGGAGAGAGGGAGACAGAATCCAAAACAGGCTCCAGGCTCCAAGCCAGCTGTCAGCACAGAGCCCTATATGGGGCTCGAACTCACCAACCGAACTGTGAGATCATGACCCGAGCCGAAGTCGGATGCTCAACTGACTGAGCCACCCAGGCGCNATGTTTTATTTATTTCTGATAGAGAAGAAGAGACAGTGTGAGCAGGGGAGGGTCAGGGAGAGAGGGAGACAGAATCCAAAACAGGCTCCAGGCTCACCAACCGAACTGTGAGATCATGACCCGAGCCGAAGTCGGATGCTCAACTGACTGAGCCACCCAAAAGCCCCCCCCCCCCACTTTTTAAAAATGTTTTATTTATTTCTGAGAGAGAAGAAGAGACAGCAGGAGCAGTAAACCAAGCCTTTTCAGTTTTTGCCTGGATGATTGCAGTGGGATCCCAGCTGACCTCCCTGCTTCTACCCTCCTCCTCTGTGGTCTCAACACTATTCCTCTGCTCAAGGCCTCCAGTGCCTGCCTGCCTTCCCACTCAGTAAAATCCAAGTTCTGACAGTGGTGTATGATTTAGTCCCCACCCTTCCAACTCTGACTCATTTCCTACTTGCTCACTCTACTCCAGCCACTCAGGCTCTTTTTCTTCTTCTTTTTTTTTTTTCCTGTCCCAAGTAAACTACTGCCTCAGGGCATTTGCCCAGATTTCTCTGCCTGGCATACTCTTTCTTCAGAATCCTTGTGTAACTTACTTCTTCACTTCCTTCAGGTATTGTTCAAATGTCCATTTCTCAGCGAGGCCTCTGGACTTTCACCCTTGCTCACCCACCTCTCACCCATCTTATTTCTGTCTTTCCCCATCCTGCCCTGTGACGGGGGAGAATGACCCCTAGACACACCACTTACCTGGGCTTTCTTGCCCCCAGGCGCTTGGGTGGGTTTAGTCCATGGGAGGCTCTGCCAGGAGATAAATGGCAAACGGAAAGAGATGTTGGGGTTTCCCCACATGCTCCCTGCTCTGGGCAGCGGCTGGGTCCGCCTGGGTGGCAGCTGCATCTGGGAGAGGTGGTTCTCCGCTCTCCAGCTCTCTCCAGCCCCCAGCCTTCAGTGATACCATTTCTTCCCTTTGCCGGTCAGCCTTTGGAGTCTGAAGGCCTTGCTGCTGTTGTGGGTCTCCACTGCCTCAACGTTCCTCTTGATTCTCTGAACCGCTGTCCCATCCACCGGACCTGGACTCTGTCTTCTGCTGGACCTGACTGAAATACCTTCCAGATCACTTTATGTACAATTTCCAACCCTACCTGATGTCTCATGAATTGGCACTTCCTACTTAGACCTTGTTCATCTACACAGCTTGTGTTATCTAACATGTATTTAGTTATTTGGCTATTTTCCTCCGTTCCCCCCAGCCCCACCCCACGCCACACTTGGGGATGGAAGGTCCAACCAAGGGTGCAGAGTTGTCTATTTTGTTCACTATTGCATCTCCAGTGCTTGGCACATAGCAAGCTACCAGCAAATATTTGTTGAATGAATGAATGAATGAATAAACGACCAACGAGGGGGAGCTACAGAGAAGGAGCATTGTCCAAGTTGCAGGCGGAAGAGCTGACTCAATTTCTCCTCTCCTCTCCCTCTCCCGGAATGCTGAGTGCCCTAGAAGGAGGCGGAAATGAGCCGCTCAACAGCCCTCTAGCTGGTGTTTTCTTAATTAGGGCCTGTATCTCCAGGCTCGTCTGTGTTTAACGGTCCACTTAATGGCTTCATCTGGTTCCGGGCCGACTCAACGGAACCTGCGAGGCGAAGACAGGTGGAGCCACCGGGTACTCTTTGGGGCCTTCGCTGATACAATGCGCCCCAGCACTGACATCTAACCTCTCCAGCACGGAAAGCGACCACTGCAGGGAGGGGGTGGGGGGACGGGAGAAACGACCCCTGCGGGGAGAGCGTGGCGAGCAAGGCAGGCTTGGAGCTCAGCAAGCTGCCTCAGGCTATTCCTGCGCATTGTCTACGCCCAACCCGCAGCTGCCGGGACCACAGGCCAGATATACGAGCTCTCCCATAATACCAGATGCCAATTGCTTGCTTTTACCATGAGCCGTGAAATTGAAGGGTTGCAGCGTTTCTCATTTCTTAGTTTGGGGAATGTGAGGGTGCTAAGGAGGAAAGAAACCATTCATGAGGTGGAGGACAAATGAGCCAGATCCTAAAGCAATAATACCAGGCAACATTTGGGCACTTGTTCTGTGCCAGGTACTGAGATGTGCGTTTTAAATGTATTAATTTAATCTTCATTTGTATGTATTAAATCCCTTAATCCTAGTACTTTAGGGGGCAGATGTGTTAATAGCCCCATTTGATGCATGCAGAACTGAGCCTCAAAGAGGTATTTCACTTGCTGGAGGCTATAGCACTAATCATGGCGGAACACAGGTTTGAATGCAGGCAGTGGGGCCCCAGAGCTGATGCTCAGGTCGAGAGAGGACTACCATGGTCGCATGGCAAGTGTTATCCTAGTTGCCACAGGCTGGTGGTTAGAAATCCAGGCAGGCCACCAGGTTAGCCCTTGAGGGCCAAATAGTCTCTGATTAGAGACTCTAGTCCCCTCTTCAAATCTCTGAATCTGAGCTGGGGAGGAGGAAGAGGGACGAGGAGGTGTCAGTTTGGGATCTCAGGGCAGCTCAAGAAGGTGGAGAGGCCTCAGGGACCAGGAAAATGGGAAGAAAGCTCAGCTTGGTTGGGAGAGGGCGGGCAGGGTGGAGCGACTGGGTCTCAGGACGGTGTCTGGGGCTCACTTGTGTGTCTTGAAGAGGAAAGCAGTTCAGGTGTAAAGTAGAGGAGCAGATCCTAGCACCTCCCCCTCAAGTGTTTCGGTGTTTTCTACAGAAGTTTGGTGGGAGAAGGGTGGTGGGAGAGTGGTTGCCAAAGGAGGCTCACTGAAAGGCTGCTTGCATATAGCACTTTTCACTTAGATTGTATCAGTATTTCAGATCAATAAAAACAGCTGCATTTAAAAAAATGTCTTTATCTTTTATTTTGAGGTGGGGGGAGGTAGGGACGAGATAGATAGGGAGAGAGAGAGAGAGAGAGAGAGAGAGAGAATCCCAAGCAGGCTCAACCCCATGAACCACGAGACCAAGACCTGAGCCAAATCAAGAGTCTGACGCCTGACTGAGCCACTCAGGAGCAGGTAAATGTCTTTATTTATTTATTTTTTTAATGTTTTTATTTAAATGTTACCTACAGTTGGGGCACCTGGGTGGCTCAGTCCATTAAGCACCTGACTTCGGCTTAGGTCATGATCTCACAGTTGGTGGGTTCCAGCCCGGCCTGGGTCTCTGTGCTGATAGCTGGGAGCCTGGAGCCTGCTTTGGATTCTGCATCTCCCTATCTCTGCCCCTGCGCTACTCACGCTCTCTCAATCTCTCAAAAATAAACATTAAAAAATTAAAATGTTACCTAGAGTTGAGAAAGTGTCCTTTATACTTAATGGGGGAAGGGAGTGGCTGAAGATGATGGGGCTAATAACCACCCCTCTACCTTGCCCAGTTGGGCGTCACGACAGCCTCCGAACTGTCCCAAACTGGAACCTTCTCTCCAGCCTCCATTTGTTAGGCTGTACAGTGCACGTAATGAGTTGCACCTCACTGCCAGTTTTGAGCCTTGCTCTGTGCGGGCTGGCGTGGGAGGTGGAGAAAGAGGGAGGGGGTAGCCCCCGCTGTAGCCGGGTGTGGGGCGGACCCACCCGGCCTCCATCAAAGCTTTGGATAACAGAATGCCTTGGGGGAGTATGAATGGGGCGCCTCTGTTTCCAGTCGGGTTCAGATGCATCTCCACCATTTTTTCCACTGTAGCTGAAAGGCACAAAACATTTTTCTTCGCGTGCTGCGGAGGCTGAAGAACCGGGTGGGTTTTTGTTTGTTTGTTTTTTGTTTTTGTTTTTCCAGAATCTGTGAGACAGGGCCTGGGTGCCTGACGGGAGCAGCTCCAGAAAAGCCGAAGGAAGGCAGAAAAGCCGAAGGAAGGCAGAAAAGCATCAAAAAGGACTGGAGGGTGTTCGCTGGTGCCTTGACCACACCAGCCGCGGCCCCACCTGCGAGGGGGCGGGACCCTGCGGCGCCGGGCCAATCAGCACCCACCTGCGCTCACCTGGCCCCCTCCCGCCTGCTCCCGCGGGATGCTGCTCTCAAAGGGGCGCAGAAAGCACTGCCGAGCACTGGCCCGCCGTCGCGGCAGCTTCTTCGTCCTCTCTTCAGCCATGGGGCCCCCTAATGGGCTTCTCGCGTCCCTCCTCCTCCGCCTCCTCCTCCTGCTTCAGGTACTCCACTGTCTTGCCCTAGCCCGGGCCGGGCAGTTCTGGCTGCGCGGGGTCCGCACGCGGTGGTGGCGTCGGGGAGAGCGCGGGGCTGGGCTCTTTGGGGTCCAGGTGGCCCGGAAAGCCCCGTAAGGAATCTCGGGATGGGTGTACAGAGCCGGGCATGCCTGTGACCCAGCCTCCCTCTTTCCACCCTCTTCCCTCAGGCGCAGCTTTGCTGGCTGCCTTGCGTGGCCTCCAAGCCGTGCAGGGCGGGCTTCGGGGAAGCCGAAGTGACTTTGGAGTCGCGAGGCGCGGAGATGGAGCCTGGCCAGGCGCCGAGGGGAGGTAAGACCCTCCGGGAGGTAGCCCCGTGGAACCGCAGGGCGGGGGGCTGCACGTGGTCCGCTCCGGTGTGGTCCGCGCGAGGGGCGCCCAGGGTAGGGCGGGGGGCTTCTGGTGCCGCCGGCTCCGCCTTAGGCAGCCTCTCGGGGCTAGCGCGTGGGTGGATGGCTGACCCAAGAGGAGGGAGAGCATAGCGCCCTCTCACGTCCAACCCCTCTTTGCCCCTCTTTGCCCCTCTGCGGCGACTTACCTGGACCTCCTTCGGGGTGCGGGGCGCCTGCGCTCCTCAGGCAGCCCGGGCGGGAGAAGCTCTCCCCCACTGGCCCCAGCGAAGGAATGCGCGGCCCACATTCCTCCCCCAACCCCCGCGCAGGTGTGGGGATGAGCCGTGCCCCGGGCAGCCCCCTTCGCCCCTGTCGGGCCCCCTTTGTGTACCGTGCTTTGTGTCTCCGACAGACAGACCGGGTCTGTTTCTCTTCTTCGCGCTCCCCTCCTCCGCCCCCCTTCTTCTCGGGCTGCTGGAATGCACTCTTAACCCTGCCCTTCCCGGAGGGCCTGAGCCCCTGCAGCCTGCCTGGAAACTGGGCTTGGCACACCTGGGCTGGGGCCATCACGCACTTGGGGACACCCCCGCCCCACCCCAACCCCCGTCTTGAGACTGGAATGTTAGGGCACTTGCGGGAGTGGGGGGTGAGGGGTCCCGAGCCGAAGGTCTTGAGCTGAGGGGGAGGTGGATGGGAGATCAAAGCCCGCTTTTGATCAGTTTATTTGTCTTCCCTACCCCCCTCCACCCCAGTTCAAGAACTTGTGAGTGGGGAGTCATTTTGGTGTTAGGGGAACCAGTGTGTTAGGAGACCTGGGCAGCTGCCTGCTGATGGGGGCCTCTTTCCCTCCATCCAGGACAGTGGGGGTCAAACCTCACGGGTCAAACCCAAGATCTTAAAGAGAGCTATAACCCAGGATCCTTGGGTGGGGCTCCAGAGGATCCCTAACCTGTGAAATTGTTGAAGAATTTGTGTATGCATTTTCCCCAGGGAGGGGATCTACAGTTTACCTGGCTTTCAAAACAACTGAAAACTGTTGCCACCTAGCATTTTTCCAATGCCCTCATCAGCGCACCTCTCACCCCCACATACAAATTTCCACAGTTTGAATGTTGGGGTGTCCGTGCCTAGGTGATGGCTCTCCTTTGTTTCTCCAAAAGAGGACTGGGGTCTGGAGTTTGTGGGGGCCTTTTATTCCCCTTCTTTTCCCAAATAACCCTGCAGATTGACAAAACAATTAACACCCAGGCTAGGCCAGGCTCCTTAAACTCTTGGCTGTAGGGAGCCAAGCAGAGGCATTAAGAGGCTATGCCTCATAAACTTTGAATTCTTGCACATGGGTTTATTACTGACTGGCTAACAAACTGCAACTCAGCCAACCTGTAAAAATGTTAACTTGGGCAGGGCCCCAAATCCAATTCCGGCTCCCTGAGGAAGCTTTATTGCTACAGACCTCTGCCAGATCTGTATTCCCCCTCATTGTCAAGTTCTCTGACTACAATCTCGTGGCTTTTGAGTGTTGACTGTGCCTTATCTTTCTTACTGAAGCAAGAAATATCAGATTAACTGTCACTTCACTAAGCTTGAGGTTGTTGAGGGGAAGCGGTGATCGGGTTTTCGATTTCATGGTCCGGTTGGCTGGCAAGTGTTTCCCAGTGACGTCAGGCATTTTAAACCTTTTGAGAAAATTCTGCTTTCTTGGATGTCTGGTTTATGGTTGTGCAAATGGTGGGTTCATGCCAGGAGCACACCTGGGTTATAAAAAAGGGGGGAGGGGTTCATGTGCTTGGCTAACCTTGAGCCTCCCCGTAACATGACTGGTTCTTAGAGTAGTTTTCCTGTGAGATAGACTGCTGCCTTCTTTTTTAAGTAAAAGCAAGTTCCTTGGTCCAATTGATCTCAATTCATTGAGACACCTCAACAAAAAATAGGGGTAATTCTCTCCTTAGTCCTCAGTTGCTGACATCTTTCTACCTCCCCCCTCCACCTCAGGCTCTCTGTCCTCAGTGCACAGGATGGATCCAGCCATGTTGAAAGGGCTGTCCTGAGGGTACATACAAACTCTCAAGTTTGGCCAAGCAGACAAGTTTCCTTATTGCCAAGGAACAATTGCCTCTGTTGTTCGCCCCTGGGTTATGAATATCACAGGTGTCTATGAAGTCAAGCTCAGAGAAATTATCTGATATAATTAATACCTTGTTTGCATGTGCACTTTCCTCTTCAAAGCACTTCCACAGCTCTGAGCTTGCTTTGTCCTCCTGACATTCTCTTGAAGCTGGTAAGGTAACTATTAAACAGCTTGAGCTCTTAATCTCAGAGTTGGTACTTCAGAAAGCCTGTAGCCTAGCCCTGCTGGGGGTTTTAAAGGTGGAGAAACAGGAACAGCTTAATGGATTCAGTTTGCTAGGCTGAACAGCTCATGAGCTTCCTTGAGGGTCACAAACATGACTTTTACCTTTAGGTTTATTCCCAGGACCTGATACTTCACAGGATGCCCAGTAGGTGTTCACATGAATCATGACAATCTGGTGAAGGCCTGCCTGTTTTACAAATGAAACTTGAGTGGTTGTGGCTTCATGAAAGTCATTAATACAGTGACTTGAATGGAAGTTTCTGACTCCTAAGTTCAGTGGCATTTTTTTACTACCAGAAAGTGGGAGGTGGATGAAATGAAGTGGAATGTTGGAGGGCCAGATCCCAAAGACACCAATTACAACCCCCTGTCCTAAGAGCAATTAATCATTTGTTGGTTCTTATCGTAAAGTTTTCCAGAAACATTCCTGTAGGGAAACTGGCTTAGATACAGTCTCTTAAGTGTCCCAGTGATGGGGCTTGGGTGCCATCTCTTGGGTGCAAGAGATTAATCTGGAGGAAGAGCTGGAATGTTCCCCCGACCCCAACCTCACAGTCTGGGGGGCTGCCTTCAAGTGCAGTCTGGGGAAGAGAGGGGAGGCAGGAATTTGCATGGTATTAGTACACTAATTAAAAGTGATTGACCTAATCATGGTCTATACATCATTAATGGCAAACAATTGAGAGAGACAGCTTAATCACAGTAAAGAAATCCAGTATTTCATTATGGCCCCTCAGCAGGTTCAACTCACCCTTAGTCAGTGTTGGAGTAAGATTAAAGCTAACCCTCATTAGCTTTGGTAGGAAACTTCAAAATTCAGTAATGAATCTGACTGAGCATGAATTCACTTCAAGATGCTTTGGCTATTTGAACTTGTGTAAAAATTGCCTTTTGTTTTGGAGCCTCCAGCCTGGGCATGTTCTCTGTTTGTATTTTATTCCTTGAGTAAACATATATATAGCATCTGCACATATCAGGCAGAGTTCTAGAACTACAGCTAAAGCAATGGACAAAACCAAGCTCCTGCCCTTGGGGAGCTTATAGTCTAATGTTTTTTATGCTTATGATTGTTTTGCGAAGCAGGTGGTGGTAACTCACTTTTGCTGTAAAAGGGTTGTTAAGCAACTTGGTGTGAGGTCACTGGGGCAGTCAGCAGTAATCCAGTGGAATTTCACAGGGTCAAATAAATCTGCCTCAGGAATGAATGATTTGGGAAATGGGGCTTTGAGCCTGGCTCACTGCCTTCCTGGCTAAGCAGCAGGTTGCTAAAGCCTGTTGCACATCCCTGTTAGCTTGTGCCTGGGGATCAGGTCCCAAACCTCTAATCTCCCTTCCCACCTCCTCACATGGCACTCTGTTCCTAGGTTACCCAGTGCAGGGTGCCCTCACCTCCCTGCTGTGTGAGGAGGAAGGCATTGCTTACATTAAGTAGTGGGTTTCTAAGGCTGGAAACTATAGTTGTGCAAAACATTTGGAGGATGATGGAGGATCAGGAGGGAGAGAAGGACCTCCCCTGTCTAAATCAGTTGAGGCTTTGGTTCTGAGGCAGAACTGTCTCCATTCAGAGAATCACTGTTATTGAAGAATAACATAAATGGAGGAAAGTGCCCAAATGATGAGTGTACTGCTCAATGAGCATCACAGATTTAAAACACCCATGTACCAAGATTAAGAAACAGCATTGCAGCACCTCAGATGCCCCTTCCTTCCTGTTCTCTACTCTGCCCACCAAGAAAACCACTATCTTGACTTCTAATACCATAGGTTAACTTGCCTGTGTTTGAATTTTATGTAAAAGAACCAAATAATATCCTCTTGAACATTGCACATTTTGTGAGATGCTTCCATAGTTCTGGAAGTGGTTGTAGGTGATTCTCCCTATCCTATAGCATTCCATTATGTGACAATTGACACTTTGACTAGAGTTTCTGGGTTTTGGCTGGTACTGTTGGGAAGATTACTGTTCGAGTCTCTGTACAGTCCCTGTTAGGCACATACCTGGGAGCATAATTGCTGGGTTAACTGAGGATCTCCATACTGTGGCTGTTGTACTGAGAAGTCAGCTTTTATCTTTGAGAGGGAGAGAGACAGAGAGAGACACAGAGCAGGAGTGCGGGAAGGGCAGAAAAGAGGGAGACAGGATCTGAAGCAGGCTCCAGGTTCTGCACTGTTAGCATGGAGCCTGATGCGGAGCTCGAACCCCCAAACTGTGAGATCATGACCTCAGCCGAAATCAAGTTGGAATCTTAACCAACTGAGCCACCCGGAAGCCCCATCCATCCTGGATTCTTGATTCTCCCCTAGCACTCTGCTAAGAGACAGCAAGTCTTTATTATATCTTTGGTCACATCCTATGTGTTGAGGGAGAAGTCCTTCCCTTTATTTGTTCATAAGCCAATGCCTGTTATTTTCCCGCCAAATATGAAGGGAATCTGAAAATGTCCCTGAATTTTTTAGGTGAGGGCTTCCTGTATGATGTTTATCTGAGACAGTGTCTGAGTGGGCAACAGCTTCCTCACATGGATAAGGTGATTAAGTGTAGCTCCTGCCTCATTATGAGGCAATGAAGTGTCTGAGACCCAAGGCCAAACTGAGTGATCATTCAG